CTCAGGTCAGTACAAATGCACACACATCCTTTTGCTTTGTCAACAACAGCAACAAAAACCAGGTAGGAGTAATTAAACCTGGCATACCAGCCGAAAGTCTCAAGCTTGGATCAATACAGTACCTCAAACCTAAGGCAGCTATTTGAAGAGTTCAAATTTTTTGGTAACTGTGTCAAATGTGAAGATTTTCACTATAAAACTACCTGGCCCTTTAGAATTGCTTGGCTGTGAAAGACCAGCCTGGCTTTGGGTGAGCACAACCAGGTGCAAAAAGTTTCCTATCAGACTAGGAGGATTTAAAATACTCCACGTGCTAGAGGCTTGAGAAATGAACCAGGCTACTGAAAATAGCTTTGTATTGATATTTCTCCACTGGTCTTTATGATAAACAAGTCTGAGTTGAACTGGTGAGTGTAGAAAAATGCCCCTTGCTCCCTGCAGACAGGCATTACCCAACCCCCAACACACACAGATCCCAAAAGAATGACAAGCCCAAGCTTTTAAAAAGTGCTAATATTATAAAAATTATTTGGTAAAGCTTTTCATTCTCAAACAGTTGGTTTCTTGACAATGTGTTTTTGCAGCTCACAAGCACACATATAATAAAAACCTCATCAAGAATAGATCCCTGCAATGGGACAGATATGTAGTTGGAAGCTGTGAAAGTTCACACTTCAGAAAAATCAAACTAACAAACTGCTGAGCCCTGTTAATTGTTTCTTAAAAAAAAAAAAAAAAACCAACCCAAAACATAAGCTGTAAATAGCTAATCAGAGAGATTCTTGACTGATCTGCATAACAGCAGGTTTTACTGACCTGCCATGGATTTCTTACATAAAAGTCTGTGGATTACATTTTTTTGCTTTCTACACATACGAAACCTTGAGAAAAAATACTGAAATCAGAAGCATGCAGACACTTTAGTTATTTTTGTCCACAGATGAACTCAGAAACCAAACTCCTATGACAGCCTAGCACAGAAACCCATACAGAAAGCCAAGGCTAAGCTCATGTCTTGAGGCAGCTCATTAAAAAAATAATAAATTAAAAAATCTACACAGTGCTAAGAAGTGTGTGTGCATGAGCTGGGGGAGCACAGAGCCAGCAATGCCCAACCAACACTCCACCAGCTCCATGAGCTCTCCCCAGCACCAGGGAGCTTCCAGAAATGCAGCTTTAAAGGAGCTGTGTGCCTTGAACCTTCCCAGGTGAATAATGCAGCTCCAGGAGAATGCCAGCCCCGGTGCTCTTCTTTTCAACAGGCAGCAGAAATCAGCAGGACAGCTACAAAGCCTGGGATGTCTGGGGTTTGTTCAGGGAGTTTTTTTGGGAATAGGAAGGAGGGGAAACACACAGAATTCCTTTGGTGTAATATATCCTGTTTTATTTCTTCTGCAGCACATTAGAGTTGAGTTCACAGATGAAGTGTCCTCCAAGTACAAGTTCAGAACACCCAGGGCTGTGCTCCTGTGTTGGGAGCAAACAAGGCACTAGTGAGTCAGTTCACAGATTTTTCTAATTCTGGAAGTCAAATTAAAGAAATTAGTTTGGCTTTTTTTTTTCCCCCCCCTCAGAATCAACAGAAGAGATTTGATCTCTGAAGTTTTAAGTGAAACAAATTGGAGGGAGCAGTTCACAGCTTCTGCCTGCTGAAATATCAGCATGGTGACTCAAGGCATGCATCCTAATTTCGCTTCTTTTTAAAGAGTCTCTTGCAACTGTTATTTATGCCCAACAGCACAAGGAATAATGAGGCCTCCTTTTCCCAAATCTTGGAATTTTTCCTCTACTAAAGCCATGAAGAGAACTGCAGCTAAGTGACTTAACTGATAAGCACAGCCAACTTCAGAGTTCCTTGGAGTCCCAAGTTTTACAACCCCCAAACAAATCAATCTTTCTTTCACTGGCTGTGTATAAAACATAACATTTGCTTCAACAAGTCCAGAAGCCTTTTGAATACAAAACAGGAAAGTCACCAGGAGGGGGTGGGAAGGGGGTGAGGCACTTTTTTGGAGTGCTGACCCATTACAGCTAACACACCCATTTCTGACACTGCATCAATGCAGAAAAATGAAAGAAAAACGAAAGAGAGAAAGAGAGAAAGAGAGAAAGAGAGAAAGAGAGAAAGAGAGCCTTTGGCAATCTAGGGCTCCTAATCTTTAAGTCTGACACAGAACAACTGAACAATGAAAAAAGCTGAATTGCATTGCAAATTTATGTTCCATGCCCAGGTTATGGAATGTAGTGCAATAGGGCACTGGGCAGCAACAAAACTGCATTCCTTACAGAGGGAACAGCTTGAACCTCATGATTTTTGCATGTGGGCAATACTGAGTGACCTTCATGCTTTCCAGCATTCTCTAGAAGGCAGATTTATTTGTAATCACAAATCAGCTGTTTTGTTTTTGGGGACAAAACATATATTTGGAAGAGCAAAGGTTTAAACTCTGTATTAAGCAGCAAATGCAGAAGCCAATACATTAGCTTTAAAAGCTGAATTTGAAGACCACACTCCAAAATCTAGATTGGATAACATTAGAATCTGAGAGAATGGTTGTTGGCTGCTCCTTTTTCTGTTTCCTTTGAGAGAGACATGTTCATAGTTCAGTTCCATTAGAAAACAGTAGCCTCTCGAGCATATACCTTACCTAAAAAGATATCCCATCTCAACATAAGAGATCCAACATTCACAATGGACAAATAAAGTGATATTGCTCTTACTGTAATGGACACAATACAAGACCATCTGTATTTTAACAAAGAAAACCCATCAAATGTTTGTTTTAAACAAGCACTGTCTCTTACTTGCAATTTCCTTAGGCATGAAATAAACCATGTTTTGGATAAGGTGCCAGCTGAACTGGACTGCAGTACAACAGATCCTAGGACAGTGTTATTAAAATAACCAGCAGCTGGTTGCACTAAAACCACCCCCAGGACAACAATGATCAGTAAATTTTGTTTTGTTTAACAGACCAAGGTGATAAACCATAGATTATCCAAAGCTTCCATATGATAGTCCTTGAACTCCTGGAAAAGAAGTTCTAATTTTGATTTAAAGGAAGTCGAGAGACAACACTGGGCACAAGTATTTCTTTACATGCAGAGACATGAAGGAATGGGACAGGATTAGTGATTCTCCCTGCACATCCAAAATTCAAGACAATTAAGAAGCATGTAGAAGCATACAGTTCCTGACGTTCCAAAGCAAATGGCAAGGAAAATCTTATTCACCAGCATGTGAGATAAAGCAACAGACTTTTGCTTCTCAGCTTCCTAGAAGTTGCTGTGAGGAATTTAATTGCTACCTCACAACCTGATGTGCCCCTTTCTCAAGTACATGTACAAAAAAATCCAGCGGCTGAATAAAGTTGTGTACTGAACACAAAGCAAATTCTCATACAAAACTGCCAAAGGAAGCACACAAGGCTTTGAGACAATTCATAAACTCACACAGGTCTTTATATAAGGTTAATGGTTTGCTAGGCAAGTGCCAAGGTTCACAAAACGGGTAATTTCTGTTTCTTTTTTTAAACCATGTTTGAACTTTGCGCATTTTTCCTAACCACACTTCACGAAAATCTCAGCAGCAACCTAGATGGGCAGAGGATATTTTACTCTGAGGTGTTCTCAAACACCTTATTAATAAGAGAGCACAGGAAAGCCTCAACCCTTGAGTTATACACTTCAGTTTGCTGGGTCAGGCAGCAGCACAGCAGTCTGAGCATACTTGGATGACTAACACTGAAACGGGCCGAAAACTGCAGCAATCATGACAGAGACAATAAAGAACCCCAGCAACTGCACACAGCTCCAAGAAAAGAAATATCATGAAGAATTGCTTTTAAAAAACGCAGGGGAAACACAGTTATGATGCCCAAATGTGCTTTCTTAAAGGCCACTTTTCATTAAAGGGATTAAGTATGATATTAACAACACACCTATAAATAAAGTATATGGCATAAGCAAATGTTAGCATAAGATCTTGAATGAAACTTTAAGGCAAAACAGATCACAAAGTGTTGTAATAGAACGACTAGTACGTCAAAGGAACATGCATAGTGCTAAAAAAATAGTGATAATTTTAAAAACTGTCATGTGAAATGAAAGACAGCAGTATATTGAGCTAAAATAACAATCTTTTGGAGATCTTCATACGCACCACTATCTTTACTACAGTGCTTCAAACAGAAAATTGCTCTGAAGGTTATAATTAATGAAGAGACCGAGGCAGAGAAATGATGGGCTAACAGGGCAGAAATACATCGGGTGTTCCACACGGATGCAGCGAGGAGTGCTTTAGGATGGCTCTCCCTCTCTCCTGGGGCACACAGGAAGGACACTCAAGGAACAAGTACAGGGTAGCTGCTTTCCCCGAAAGTGATCGCCTCAGGTCTCCCACGGAGATCAACAGCAAGGAACATAAAAAGGGGGTTTAAGGAGTGTTTTCTGCAATGTGCAAAAAGCTGTGTGCAGACTGGGGGGGAGTAAACCGAGGAGGGAAGCATGAGCACTGCTGGGCTCGTGTGCCTCTCCTCGGCTGCACTGGAGAACAATTTCAGCCGGAGGAAAAGGGTTCGGGCAAAGCTGGTCACAAAGACAAGCTTGAGACTAAGGGTGGGGTATAAACGGTTCCTAAAAGGTGCCAGGTGATGTCTGAGGTAAAGGCTAAACATTTGAAAGAGAGAGTAAAGAGCACAAAGATGCTCTCGGCAAAGGGTCCACAGAGGCTGCTGGAGCAGACCATGGGCTTGAGGGCGCAGCGTGCGAGGTGCGTGGGGGGCAAAGAGCAGGAAATTTGCAGGAGGAAGGCGCAGGGCACAGCCTGGAGGACGGGAGGGGAGGACAGGTGAAGCAGCCGAGGGAAGGCTCGGGGCAGGTTGAGGCACGGCACGCCGGCAGCGCCTGGCAGGGGGCTCGGCAGGGGCAGGGCCGGGCGGGCGAGGCGGCCGGAGCGGGGGCAGCGCGGCGGCAGGGCTGGGCCGAGGGCCGGTGCCTACCTGGGCGTCTTGGCCGCGGCGCTCTCCCGGCGGTCCAGCACCCCGGGCACGCAGTTGGTGAGCTCGGTCCAGTCGGCGTGCAGCCCGCAGCTCCAGCCCGTGGAGAAGCGAGAGAAGAGCCAGGTCTCCCTGCGGTTGGGCCGGTAGCAGGTGCACTTCTTCTGCCCGGGCCGGCAGTCGCACGGCACCTCCAGCCGCACGTTCTGCACCAGGTGGCGGCCGAAGGTGGTGCCGCCGGTCTTCTGGATGTGCAGAAAGACGATCACGTCCTCGCCCTTCATGTCGAACGCGAGCTCCCGCTCCAGCTCCCGCACGGGGAAGTAATACTTCTTCACGTAGTGCGGGTCCGGCGTGGGAAAGAGGTCCAGCTCCTCCGAGTAGGAGCGGCCGCTGGGGGAACCCAGGCTCAGCCCCGGCCCCACGTACTGGTACAGGATAAGCATGAAGCACACCGAGACGGCCACGATCAGCAAGAACTTGCTGGTCCTCTCAACCATGGTCCTTCCCGCACGCTTCATGTGTCACCATCTCCCGGGGCTGCCGGCGCTGGGCAGACTGCGGCGCTGCCGGGGGGTGGGCGGCGGAGCTTCGGCGTCTGTGCCAGCCGCCTCCCCCCGATGCTCCCCGGAGCAGAGCCTTCCCCGGGGGCGGCGGGCCGCTCCCTGGGTCGCCTCGGCTCGCCGCCGTCCCCGCCCGCCCCGCCGCGGGCAGCGCCGGGAGCGGGGCAGGGGCAGCCCGCAGCCAGCCGCTCCGCAGGCGCCGCGGCACAGCGGCAAACTTGCGAGAGAGAGAGAGAGGGGCAGGAGGGGGGCGGAGAGGCACCGAAAGGCAAGAACCAGCCTCCTCCCGCCCTCCCTTCCCCGCGCTTCAGGAAGCCACCCCCATTCCGGCGCTGCCTCCGCCGTGCCCCAGCCCCCGCGGCACCGGCGCGGCTGTGCCCGCCCCCGCCGCCGGCTGCGCCCCGGCCCCGGCCCGCTCCGCTCCCCGGCACCGCTCCCGGCCCCGCTCCCGGCACCGCTCCCCCGCCGAAATCCCCACCACTGCGGACCTAGGTGGGCTGCGAGCCGGCTGCGCCTCCCCGAAGCACTCGGCTCTTTATGTGCCGCCTTAAAATTAATCCCGAGCAGCGGAACTCGGCGCTCCTCGGGGCTAGGTTTCTGCTCCCGCTTTGAGGCAAATTGCATGGGAATAGGAGCGGGTCTTGCCGCGGGTCTGCGGCCGCCACATGGGTCACCGCGAGCCTCTGGTTGCGGTGTCGCAAGTGGGTGGAATAGGAAAATGCTCCGGCCACACACAGGGTGATGATGATGGCTGTGAGCTGGAAGAAGCCCGGCCACACCATCAGCCACAGAATGTGTGAATAATAGTAATAATAATGCTAGGTGAAGCTGAGGCGAAAATCGGCGGGGGTGCTATTACAGCAAACTTTCCCAGCGAAATGCTTTGTGCTGCTCAGTCAGGCGGACTCAGGGCTGGTTTGTCATCTTAAGTCCCCCAAAACGAAGCGAAGCCTTGGGAAGTGCCCGGCACGGAGCCGGCTTAGAGCCATCCCCTCTGCAGGGCAGCACTTGGAAGATGCTGCGAGGATCGGAGCGATGCGGAGCCCCGGAGCCCGGTGTGCCCGGAGCCCGGTGTGCCCGGAGCCTGATGCCTGGAGCCCGGTGTGCCCGGAGCCTGATGCCTGGAGCCCGGTGTGCCCGCAGCCCGGTGTGCCCGGAGCCCGATGCCCGGGGCCTGATGCCTGGAGCCCGGCGTGCCCGGTGCCCGGCGTGCCCGGCGTTCCCGGAGCCCCGCATCCCCTCACCCGAGCGGCCAGGGGCAGGCAGGACCCCCGGCCCCAAAGGCAGGAGGGGTCACTGCCACCAAGCATCCAGGGAGCCCCTGGAAAGCACCATTTGGTGCCTCTCTGAAGGTAAAGGGAGGATGAAGGAGGCCCCATGCCAGAGTGAGGTTAAAATGTAGTGGCAGTCATGCTGCCACCTCATCGAGACCCGAGTTATTGTCTGTGCAGAATAAATTATACGGGCTATTGTTAATTTCTAGCCAAAAAAAAAAAAAAAAAAAAAAATCTGAAGTGCCCTGTTCTCCTGTCATTACTGCTGTTGGAGAAAGTTTCCTTAAATTTCTGGTGCTTTTTTAAAATAGAAGTTAGAACTAGATTTTAGTGCTCCGACACTGAAATATTCCATCAGGTTACATTTTTTAAATGCAAGTTTTAGGTTACATTTTAATCCAAATCAGGTTACATTTTAATCCAAATGCTTTATGTAAATGTATAGGAATTCATGCCGATGGGTCATTGTTAAACACTGGGTCAAATTTATAATGGCCCAGGAGGAAATGAGATCCTGCATTTTCATTTGAACACCCTGACAGATAAATCTGCTACATTTTGAGATGGCTGCATCACTCACAAGTTATGGAGCCCCAGTGAGTTATGCAGTTCTTCCCAAACAAGTAACAATAAAATGTTTATAGCACCCAAAAGCATCGTATGTTGTGTTCAAACCATTCATTCTGTTTGATATTTTCCTCTTAAAAGTCTGCTACTGATTCTCCTCTTCTCATGTAGGTTAGTTGCTCCAGAAACAATGATGTCATTCTTATGCACAGAGTTCAGCTACACTGAGAAGCAGAGCACAAACCTAATTTACAGGTTTGAAATTTATATTGTGACTTGGGAAATATATGATGTTTACATACATAGTTGCATTATACATTGCAGCACAAAAAAACACATAGCAGATTTTTTGATTGCAATGTGTTTGTAACAAGTTAGTATTTAGAAATGCCAAAACTGTGGAGAAATCAGCCATTAAATTATTTCCAGTTACATGGGCAATTGTTAATTAATTGTTTTAAACTCTTAACATATACAATATTTTGCCCTTTTCATTAGTTATAAAGATGGAGATATTTCGTTACAAATTTATTTGTGGTAAATATAGTGCCTGTTAGTTTGTGAAATAACATACTGAAACTCAATCCATGTAAGATAAACAGACCACAAAGGAAAATTCATGTTATGGCTGAAATTGTGGTGTTTTCTTTACTGCAGCACTTTCATCTAAAAGTGGGGGGTTGGGGAACATGCTGGAAGCACAGGGAAGGCCTGTACCCTTCTGATTTACACTTAGACAATTACTAATGCTTTTATTTCTATGAAGTGCTTTGGAATCCTTCCCTGGTAATTCTATATGCTGCTCTGAAATGTTGGTGTTTTAAAGGTTCTTACAGGTGTGACTCACCTGAAATGATAACCTAAGCAAAAACTTTACTTATACTCAGAATTCCACTGAAGACAATGATAGAATAGTTTTTCACTGCATGAGGAGTTAAATATCAGGTACCACGTCAGTGGTTTAGATCAGTGCTAATTTAGATTAGCAGAATTTAGAGAAGAGCCAAGTAAAGTTAGAATAACAAGACTGACACTTTCCCTGGCTCCTGCATTGGAAACAACAATGTAAAGAGGTGAGAAATCTGACAAATACAAGTTGTTCCTGCTGCCTCCTGTTCTGTACTGTAACTGCCTGTTTATCCTCTGAGTTTACCTCCACCATGAATTTAGTGATTTGTCCATCTTTCCAAGCTGAATCTTCCACTCTCAGGCCAGAGCTCCCTAGGCTTTCCTACATCTTTCAGAATTGCATTTCAGATTTTCTCTCCACATTCTCCTAGGCAAATACAAACAGAAGAACCCCCCATGTCCCACTGAAAAAGTTCTCTGTCATTTTAGTGTCCATCTGTGGTAGTCATATTTTTTGGAAAAATCTTCTTGCTCAGGATTTCTCTCCTGGGAAGCTGAGAAGCCTCAGAGAAAAAAAGAAAACAATATTATTTCATTTGCTTCTCTTGTGTTTGCTGTTTTGGAATGCGGTTGGAGATTGTTTATCCAACAGGTGATTGTTTCATTGGTTTTATGTGAATTGTTTTTGACTTATTGGCCATTTGGGGCCAAGCTGTGTCAGACTCTAGAGAGAGAGTCACGAGATTCATTAGTATCTTTCTAGCCTTCTGTCTGTATCCTTTCTGTATTCTTTAGTATAGCTTAGTATAGTATAGTTTAGTATTCTTTAATATAATATAAATAATAAAATAATAAATTAGCCTTCTGAGAACATGGAGTCAGATTCATCATCCCTTTCTTCATCTGGGAACACTGCAAATACAAGATCCATATAATCTTTTGCATACTTCCACTCCAGAGCTGTGCCACACTGAGCAGAACCCTCTTGCACAAGCAAGCTGAAATATTATGTTTTGACACTTTTGTAGGAATCCAGTTGATCTTGGAGGATAAGCTGCACTGATTTTCAGTGATTTTCACATGGCTGAGTTCCTTCAGGTACATTTGAAAGGTGTTTCTGTACACACTACCCTGTGTTTGTGAAGGAACTAGCTTTGAATTCTCACTACAAAATAATTCAGATTGAGGTCAGGCTTAGGTAACTAGCTAAGTTACCTAAGCTTGGTCTACACTCAGCCCCTTTCCTGGCTTCCCTAGCTAGGTAAGCCAGCACTCATCATTTATTCATGGTAAGACCTTGCTAGGAGTCAGGTACAAGGATTAGAGATCTTCTTGGAGATAACAATAAATAGACACAAATTTTGAACAGGCCGTTGAAAAGTATTTTATCATTGCTTGCTGCTGGCTATAGGATGCCTAAATATTTATGTTAAATCTACTAAAATATTCTAATCTATTCCAATAAAATATTTAAATGTGAGTTAACACTGAGGGGAGGACAAACTCCCCTTTTTACAGAGTATGGCTTATCACAGGAAACCTACCATGAGAAAACAACAGTAAGAAACGTTTGAACCGCACACCACCTCTGCCACCACAACCTCAACTAAATACTCATCTCAAAGCTTAATAAATAAATAGTGGCTTTACTAGGCAAGGGAAGTCTAAAGGCTTCTTGACTCAGAAGATACAATAGTTTCCTGGGAACTAGTAGAACTTAGTTAATCAAAACATTGCAAAAAACCCTCTTTTAACACTTGCAAACCCTAAGAAACACCTCAAGAAATGCATTACCCTTAAATAAAGTTCTACTACTCACTCTTAAGGAAAAAAAGTGTGTGTTTACTTTGTTTCTGAAGGACAAACTCCTCGTTACCCCAAAACCACATTGTAATCTAAATTTAGCTGTTTGGGTTTATAACCCAGCTCCTTTAGGAAGAGTGGGCAGGTGACACTCATTTGCTTTGCTGAGGTATGTACACAATGTCCAGAGTGAATGTGGAGGGGTTGCAAACCACAGACTGTAGCCCTTCACCTGTAATATCAACATTCAGACCCACAGCAAAGTGCAGAACTCTTGATTTTCTGATATAAACTGGTTTTCTGGTCGGCTGCTGCTGCAGCATCAGTGGCACTTACCAGCCCTGCACATTTGCACAGAATGGCAGCACTCACACATCACTTTCCTGTGGTACTTGTACTCCTAGTTGGAAACTTGGAGCAGTTTGTAAACTCAGGCGTAAATACTCCTCTGCTAGGCTGGTCACAACCCACAGAGCTCTCACAGCCAGCGAGGGGATCACTGATCCCTGAGTACAGCACAGCTCCACTTAATTAAGGGAAGGAGGTAATGAATGATGCCAAAATCTGTTAGACTCGGCAAACCTGGTTCTGATTTCAGGCTCTTGCACTGCTTTTGGGGACCACTGGAAAGTTTTGCTATTTGAAAGGTACCAAAGACAGTGTTAGAAACCCTGGTAGAAACCAAAACAGTGAAGGCACTGGCAGTTGTCCTAAAAGAAGGAACTTCATCAGCTACAGAGGTCAAATCTGTGTTTTCAAACTACCTTCACAGTGTTTATGATATAATCCTGTCCCCTCCTCTCACATGGCTGCCCTGCATCTATACACATGATACTTTCCTGTATTGTAGATAAGTGTGTGTTCTATCCCCGTCT